GAGAGAGAGAGAGAGAGAGAGAGAGAGAGAGAGGCACACACTCACACAGAGTATCGGTTTAACACCTCGGCTTGGAAAAATATTCCGAACTTTCCCATGGTTTAGATTTGAGATGTCAAATCCAAGAACGATATCGAAAGGTAGACTAAAAATTACGAAAAAACGTTTCTTATTTTTCTGAAACATATCAATTTTAATTTAAACATTTTTTGTTTCGTCGACAAAATTTATTCTTTATTACATCGAAATAAATATAGAACGTATAAAATGTTATTAGCTATGTCAATTATAATCAGTGAAAATTTGGAAAACTCGATAAACAAGTGGTATTCCCTTGAAAGAGAAAACGTCCACGAAAAAGAGAGACATAGAGAGAGAGAGAGAGAGAGAGAGAGAGAGAGAGAGAGAAAGAGAGAGAAAGAGAAAGAGAAAGAGAAAGAGAGAGAAAAGAATTACAACGTTCGATTGTAATTCGTCGATGTGAAATATCTCGACAGTCACGCCTTTAACAAAATGAGATAAAAAGGATGAAAAGAATGAAGAGTAAAAGGAGGAAAGAGAAAAAGGAGAAGAAAGGATGGAGAAAAAGAAAGGGAAGTAAAGGAAGTAGGGTAGTAAGAGTGGTGGCGAGCAATTTATCTGAAAGTTAAAAGGGGGGGAGGGGGATGGGTGGGGGTGGGGTGGTTGGAGAATACGAGGGTGAATGAAGAAAATTAGCGGAAGCCACTCGCGAGAGAGCCATTCGTTATCGAGGCGGCAATAACGCTGTTCGCTTTTTCGCACTGCGTTACCGCGATAAATCCAACAACGTTAATGTTGCTAGAATCTAAAGTCAAGTGTGTTACCGGAGGTGGGCGGAGGGGGGGGGGCGGGGGTTTGAGAAAAGGAAGGGGAGGGATGGGGAGGCGTGGAAGAGCTTGTGAATCCAATTAAAGATTCAAGAAGTCGTAATGCATTACGTAGATAATCAATCGTAAAGGGCTCTATTCGTGTAACAAAGAACTACAAATGAGAATGTCTAGAGAATACGTATAGAGAAATTAACGATTTCATCGTGAGATTAACACGTGGACGTTCGTCGATAGTACAAAGAAAAGAATGGAAAGGATAAGAGGAAAAAAAAAAGAAAAGAAAAAAAAATAGAACAAATTATCTTATCAAGAGATGTTAAGAGATAGATATGTATGTTCGTGAAATTGTAGGACCGATAGGCATCCATGTGTTAGGACTAAACTATTAGGACAATTTTATTTCGTCCTAGCAAATATCTAACGGAGAATTAGTAAACGACACGAGAGAAATAGAGATAGAGAGATAGAGAGATAGAGAGAGAGAGAGAGAGAGAGAGAGAGAGAGAGAGAGAGAGAGAGAGAGAGAGAGAGAGAGGAAGGGAGAAATAGTTAGGAAGCAAATACACAATACACAATTAGACAATAGAAGAACATACATGTATACCGGTATATCTATTTATTGTGTATATATATATATATATGTGTGTGTATGTGTGTATAGTTTCGGTCGTCTGCTATAACGTCGTGCTTTTTGTTTCGAAACATTAGGAAAAACCTTCGATATATTGTATACCAACGAGCAACGAACGCATTGCAATTTACTCTCGTTACTATGGAGAAAAAGCGTTCATTTTTATTTTTTTCCTTTCTTTCTTTCTTTCTTTTCTTTTTCTTCTCTTTTTTGTTTTTCTTTTTTTTTAATTTCTTCTTTCTTTTTTGCTCCGACAAGGCTCAACGAACGAAACAGAAGTAGGTATATATATATATATATATATATATATATATATATATATATATATATATATATAGTATGTACTGGGGTGGTTGATAAAAATTTAGAAACTTTGCCGTACGGCTTAACGAGGGAACTCACTCGACATTTTTGTCGCTCTAACAAAGGATTTACCTTAAAATTTATTGAAAGCGGATGTTTCGTATAATTTTTTTTTTTTTTTTTTTTTGTTTTAGAGGAAAGAACGAAAAATTCACATTCTCGTAAAATTTGACGAATGTACCTCCTCTCTTTTCTTTTTCTCTTCGTCGTATACACACGCACACTTACACGCACTTAATATATATATATATATATATATATATATATATATGTATATATATGTACGTCTCATACAATTTCGTCGATTTTCATCGCGTCCCAACGATCACGGCTGCATGGAAACGGATATTAAGTGAAAATCGTTGGAATAGCTGGAGTCGAGAGAAATGAAAATTGGAAATACCATTGGAAGAGTGACGAGAGATAGCTGCAGTATCGAAAGTTTTTTCGTCGACCTAGAAAACCTTAATTTGAACGAAGTTTCACGAAAATATGTATGTAGAGAGAGAGAGAGAGAGAGAGAGAGAGAGAGAGAGAGAGAGAGAGAAAGAGAAAACGAAGTAGAAAAAAGAAAGAAAGAAAGAAAGAAAGAAAGAAAGAAAGAAAGAAAAAAAAGAAAGAAAGAGTAACGATGAAGGAATAACAAGTCCCTTAC